CGCGAACAGACCGCGTGTAAACGCGATTAACGAGGCCGGAGAACGAGAAGAGGTCTGTCCGCTAGGCACGCGCGAACAGACCGCGTGTAAACGCGATTAACGAGGCCGGAGAACGAGAAGAGGAAGTCCCCTTTGAGGAAGAACGCGAGGTTTGCTTCCAGAAGGGTGAAACCGTGTGCACGGTAAGGAAAGTTTTCTTCCTCGACGAGGTCAGTCGTTACTTGGAACCGCGACCGCAAACGATACGAAGAGTGGCGGCTAAAGATGGAGGACGTCGTTTCTCATTTATGACGGCGTTTCGACGTCTTTAAGCGAGACGCTGCTTCTCGTTTTCTTCGTGTCGAACGGCGTATTCGTAAGAGAGTTATTCTTCTTCTTCTTTGGGCGAGATGTGATGGGAATTCTTTAACGGGACGGGGGATATAAAAATTACTCGTTGAACGTTTCGAGTATTTTATTAATTAATTTCGACGTCTTCGTTGTTCTTAGCTAGTTTCTTTCTTCTCACCGTTTGTAAGATTGTGTGTACTGGGTGGACCACCTAATTATCTCCTTTACCTATTCAATTTTTACGTATAATTTACATAGTTTCCAAGGGTAAATAAGGTTTTTCCGTTTTTTTTTTGTTTTCTTCAAGGTTGCCTATTTCACACACAGATATATATATTTTTTCATGAGCATTTAAAAATGATCTTAGATTCCAAAATTTTAAATCAAACCTGAAACTTTCTTGCATTTTTCCCATTTCTTCTATCAAAAAACGGTTTCTTCCGTCTCATTCACCAATACGTAAAAAAATCGCAAAATTCCCCGCGCTGCTGTATAAAACAAAGTACTCTTCATATGTCAAATTAAGTGTACTCTCTACTAATACAATCAAACCAGAGAAAACTTTTCCATCCCGAAAAATTGCAAACCCGAACGTCTTCCCTAATTACCTAATTAATTCACGAACTTGCAACATTACCATCATTTCGTTCGAGCATAACACAGCAACTTCATTCACTCAACCGAAATTTCCTCGAAACCGTGCAATTCTTTCCGCCGCCGCCGAATCGGCGAACTCCCCTAAAAGCCATCGAGGCCAATATCGAATATCGCAACGCGAGTGCAAGTTCTCCGGGAAAGCGTGTCGACTTTCCTCCGTTGGATTTTCCATCAGAGTGGGCGGTCATACGGCGTTGTTTTGATATTGATCTCCGGATACAACACCGTCTAAGCATTCTAATGGCAAGGGACGGGGATTCTGCGCGCTGCATGGCGCACGTGTTTCTAATGATTTTAGTGGTACCGAGGTGTACCTACGGCAATGTATAGTTATAGCCGGCTACGAACACGTATTACATCCACTCCGCCGGGGCACCGTGTAATATGTCGGAATTGCGGAAAGGGGTAACGCGGCCTGCAGGGCGGAGAGGGCCCGCGAGGATGGTCTTGCGGGATTCTTAATGGCGAAAGGCCTCCGAGGTAACACTACGGCTATTAAATGCAGACCCAGCTACTATGTCCCCTTTTCTCTCTCCCTTCTTCGCTGTAACACCGTATAACCTGTCTCTCTTTCTTCCCTTCATTTTCACACGGAGGCTTGTCTTTCGACGCTGTTACATCTGCGGAAACGTGACACGCGTTTTTCGAGTGTTTCTACGGCGTGGATGAATTGTGCTGCGGTAAATTGAATTTTTGAAATTAGGGGGAAAATGGAGTGGAGGTTGAGCCGGAAGCTTTTAAATTTCGGTGATAAATTTTTCGAGCTAAGGTGTTTGAGATATTAGGTCGTTCTACGAGTTGAGTATTTCCAGCGAACCTTTAAATTTGATGAAAAAAAATGTAAGAATCTCCTCATTCCACAGATTTTTCTTATTTTTTTCAGTAACAGCGTTACGTCGGTGCTACAGAATTTCCTTCGATTTTTATTAAAGTACTTTTCGCTTTCGGTGCGAACTTAGGGGATGACCCAGTATTTGTCCCTTTCCTTTAATTCCGCGTCGGAGAATTTGTGCTACTTAAGAAGATGTAAATGAAGAATTTGCGCGAGAGATTTATAAAATAATGAAAACATCAACAATCATTTGTAAAGTACACTGTATTGTAGAGTTATGAAAGAGTTGCTTCGGTAATTATCTGAACGCTTCTCCACTATTTTCTTACCAAATAAAATACTCTCAAGTGACACCCTAACATTCCTCCACCTTCCAGTAATCTTCGAACGAACACAGACAATAAAATTTCAATCTAGCTATTTTTTCCAAATTTACACAAACTCCCTCTCATACACCTCAAACCCCTCAAAACACTCTGCGATCGGATCGAGTCCCATTCGCTTTATTCCCCCGTTCCCTGGCCCAGGTCCGTTAGAAGAAGTCCGTGATCGTAATTAAGCAAGTCCGCTGTAAGGTCGGAAGTGGGAGGAAAAAGGGGGAAGCGTGGAGGAGAGGTACACCGGTAGGTGGAAGGATCCGAAACGCAAGGATAAGTAACGAAAATGTAAAGCCCGGATCAACCGCGCTCATCCCCTTAGGCGTTGGCGTTTGACGCGACCGCTGAAATTTTTACTTCGTTCGATTTGGTCTTTCGGGGATTCCCCGCCCTCTGATTGGTGGACTCTGGCCACGCCCTGCATATAAGGGTGGCTTGCTCGCCGGAGCACTATCAACCCTTATGTATGCCCGATGTGAGTACACTTATGTGCCGCGTACATATGTAAACCGTGCAGATTTCGCGCGTACATATACATACACACGTACATATATATATGTACCTTGGGCTAGTACATAGGCGTAGGAACGTGTGTACCGGGTGGGGCTCTCGCAGGACTGCGGGAGGCAGCCGGTGGTGAACTCTCGACACAAGATACGGCACGGTCGATCGAACCAGTCGTAATTTTAGTATGAAACTCTTATCTAAAAATGAACGACTCGCCGGTAGTCGCTGTTTTTTTTTCGTTTCCATCGCGAAACTCTCGCGGGACTCGGCACACGGACGTGGACGAACGAGAGTCGAGGGTGTTCGTTGACACGTTTGTTAAATTGTTACACCTCGGATGCGGTATAATTCTGTGGTGATTTTGTCGTTTTGTTTATTTTAAGAGAGAGAACGGCGAGGATTTGAATAGCGATTATAAGGGGAAATACGCTGTGCGGCGCAAAAATTGCAACTTCTGATAAATGAAGTCGCGCGAATTTGAAATTTGCATATATCGTTTGGGGTGTTGAAAGGGGGAAAGGTTATTTGTTACATTACGAGACCTTGGATACATTATCATTCTGTGGTAATTTTGTCAGTTTTCATTTTAAGAAAGAGAGAGTTGATTTTAAAAGGAAATGCACTGTTTGCCGGAAAATTGCAACACCTGAAAAACGAAATAGCGGAAATTTGAAATTTGCATTGTTTGGGGCATTGAAAGGAAGAATTGAAGGAGGAATACTATATCCAAAATAGTATCATTCTGTGGTAATTTTATTGCTTTTCATTTTAAGAGAGAGATAGGGAAGGACTTGAATTGCAATTGCTGTGATTTCGAGATTTTGAAATACACTGTTCGCAGATAAAATTGAGACACTTGAAATTTGCATATATTGTTTGGGGTATTGAAAGGAAAAAGGTTATTTGTTAAATTCCAAGACCCTGGATGCACTATCATTCTATAGTAATTTTATCATTTTTTATTTCAAGAGAAAATTAGGTAAAAATTTGAATAGCAATTTTAAGAGGAAACACACTGGTCCCCGAAAAAATTGCAACACCTGAAACACGAAATCGGACAAATCTGAAATTTGCATACATCGTTTGGGGTATTGAAAGGAAAAAGTGAATGACCCTAATTTCCAGGTATTGCAATTTTTCTAAGGAGCAGTGTAGTTAGTGTAAGATTTCGACACTTTGGCGGTTACTTAAGCTTCAGTCAGCGGGGTTATGATATTGTAATGGAGAGTCCGTTTGAAATTTGTCGGGTATTGAATAACGCCGGTGGAATAAAGTTCGTACCTTCGTAAGTAACGCCTGTAATTGCACAGTGTTTCAAGTATGACTTGGCATTAGCGGCCGGGAAATACGGGAAGGGAATTTACGTAAGCTCGCGGCGCTAGATTGTTTTGCGCGCGGAATTGAATAGAATGAGATGTCACTTCGTCGGCAAGAGAATATTTTCATGCTGCGAATATTTTATATGAAATTTATGCCTCGGAGAGAGAGAGGGAGAGACGAGAGTAGAAACTTACGGTCCTACCGGTATAGATATTACTATTTTACAGAGGACGGAGTAGAATAAGATGTCACCTCGAATTGTCTCGAGTGACTAAAGTAGCTTTACGTTACAAACCTTAAAAGCAACAACTGAAGACGGCATCTGGAGACCGTGCTGAATACACGCGAGAACGGCGTTACATTAAATTTACCTCTTTCAAAATGATATGTATTTCAGAATTAATTGCGTGCAAGTGCGAGCACCTTTCATGATGTATTGCGTAACCCCGCTACTCAGCTTCCGTACCTTCCTTTGAATTATTCTTACTTAATTATATCGCGCATGCTCCTCAACGTTCCGTCGTATTATTAAAGGGACATTTTATTCCGTGTCACGCACGAGTACGAATTTGGGTTTTAGTTTTCTTTCGTTTACTTTGCTACCTGTTAACAGATTACGAATTGCGTTAATTAGTTTTCATATGTGTCGATTTTTTGTGTGTCCTATGAAATATCTGAAAATAGAAAGAAATTATTGATGAACAGTAATTCGATATGTAGATTATCGTAGTGTAGTAAGAGAAGATGAAAGAAATATTTTTCTACGCTTCGAATTTTAAACGAATTTCGCGGGTTTTTTGGCACCAATACGATATCCGATTACGACTTCTCGATTCAGAGGTTTCGATAGTGCGGGAAGTTGTTTGAACTTAGTTCTTGTAATGTGTGAAGCGAGCTACGGGGCGCTCGCGTCAGTGCCGTGAACGCTTCAAAACAAAATCGTGTTTGGTGGGTAGTTTTCTTCATTTGTGATTGAAATGATCGAGGAACACGACGAACACGAAACAATATGCGACTCGGTGGTAAGTGTTGTAACGCGTGGAGTATAATTATGTTGATATTCGATTGGAAGAATAGCGGTAATTAAGAATATTCGAATGCTATGAAATTCTAACCTCACTTTCAGAATTCACTGGTGGAAGGCTGCCGTTTACCGGTCAGAATGCACGGAACGGAAGATTGGCGTAAGTAAAATGCACACTTTTTATTATTAATACTTAATTATACACTCGTTTTTAAAGAATCATTATTTTTTTCTCGAAATTATGTACATGGTTTTGTGCAACAGAGATCTTTTGACAAGTGTGTCATTGAAGCACATTATTCAACCACTCAACAGGTACACAGCCTTTTCAGTTGATTAATATCGTTAAAATCTTATTCTGGGAATCTGACATTTTATTGAAATTGTGGTGTTCATTATTCATATAGTGATTAGTTTAGTTTTTAGGTTATGTTTAGGTATTTTGGACGGTAGTGGTTTCTGTACACATGTTCTGCCATTGTGTGTTAGGAGTCGATAATGATTCCATTGATATAGATGCAATAACAAGGGTTTATCAAAAGTTTCCTTTTGTCATCCACAGCTCTTGCTGAAATCATCAGTGTTAAAGAAGTACATGGTGTCAAGTGTTATTATGTTCACTATGTAGATTGTAAGTATAACGCGAATTAAAAAGAAAGGTGTTGTAGGTATGTACATAAACAACCATTTAACTAAATGTACAATATTTTAGTCAATAAACGATTAGATGAATGGGTTATGGAAGATTGTTTGGACACACGGAAAGTTCAATATCCTCGTCGAGATGGAACCACACCAGGAACTGGTGCAGCAACCCCTAAAAAGCAAGCAGTCAGTAGACCTCCTAGTCCTAGCAGCCTTAGTAACGAACCAGTTAATGGTTCCGCTGTTTTACAAGCAGCGTTACAAAAGAAAATGTCTAGAAAAAGAAAGGCAACTTTCATAGAGAATGATGATTCTCAAGATGGCCCGCCACAAACACCTGGTCCAAGACCAACTGGTTCATTAGTTGCTCATCATCATGACGATATTGTTACTAGAATGAAAAATGTTGAACTGATAGAATTAGGTCGTCATAGAATAAGACCATGGTATTTTAGCCCTTATCCACAAGAAATGGTGAATTTACCATGTATATACATTTGCGAATTCTGTTTGAAGTATAGAAAAAGTCGGAAATGTTTAGAGAGACATCTAGCTAAGTGCAATTTAAGACATCCACCTGGCAATGAGATATATAGAAAAGGTTCGATATCGTTTTTTGAAATTGACGGCCGAAAAAATAAGAATTACGCACAAAACCTTTGTTTACTGGCGAAATTATTTTTGGATCATAAGACACTTTACTATGACACAGATCCCTTCTTATTCTATGTAATGACAGATTTTGATAGTAGAGGCTTTCACATAGTTGGTTATTTTTCGAAAGAGAAAGAATCAACGGAGGATCACAATGTAGCTTGTATTCTAACACTGCCACCATATCAAAGAAGAGGTTACGGAAAATTATTGATAGAATTTTCTTACGAACTATCGAAATTCGAGGGTAAAACCGGTTCACCTGAAAAACCATTGTCCGATTTGGGATTGCTGTCTTATAGAAGTTACTGGGCGCACACCATACTGGACATTCTCCTCAACATAAAACCGTTAATAGAAAATGAGAAACCACAGATCACGATAAGTGAAATATGTGAGCTGACGTCGATTAAGAAAGAAGACGTGATATCGACGCTTCAGAACTTGAATCTCATTAATTACTACAAAGGACAATATATTGTGACATTGAATAGGTAATTGGCTAAATCAGTCAATGCATCATTAGGGAAAACGAGTCGAGCAGACATTTTATACAAACATTTAGCTTCTTTCCGTACCGAAGGCTTTCTTCCAGTATCTCACTGACAAAACATGTTTATTCACAGGGATATTATCGAGCAACACGCAGCCGCAATGGAAAAGAGGCAAATCAGAATAGATCCTAAGTGTCTTCATTGGACACCAAAAGACTGGAGTGTTAGGGCAAAATGGTGAAGTGACGTTCAAAGTTGACAATAAGACTACGCTAATTTGTCTTGAAACTGTTTTCAGGATCCCTGCAAGTGACTATATATGTACGATTTAGCGAGTGTACAAAAAAACTGTACATAATTAACTTGACCGTTAACGGTCTGCGTTTTTAATAAGACTGTATCAGGCTTTGCACGCGGTTGCAATGGTCTAAAACAAGGAAAAAAAAAAAGCGAAAAAAAGAAACGTAATAATAATAATATTCTCGAAAGCACGCGTATCTCGTCGGTTACACAGCGCATCGAAGAACTGTGATTAGCGAGTTTCACGTGATATAAAAGAAGTATATCTGTTGAATAAATACACTGGCTTACGTCTAGAGTCAGAAGCAATGTTTTAATATGGTGACTAGAATTTTTTAAATGTTCGCATACGTTTTTGCGAATCTGCGATTTGTACAGATATATATAAATCGGTACCTTGTAGAACTGTAAATAAATATTA